AGATAGGGCTTCTAATATGAGATAGCAGGTTTTCAACATGAAAATTTTATCAGAAAACTTTATTCACTACGATTACACGATTTAACAATGAATTTTTCACTAAACAGATTTCACTCTAAGGGCAATAAAAATTCACGATGAAACCAATAGATGATAAATATTAATTTAGCAAAAACCCTGCTGTCTCATATTAGCAGCTTATCGCACAATAGGGTACTTTCCTCTATCATGAGACTGTTTTTTTGCGAAAAATATTACCACATACCTCGGTGGTCGAATTAGTGAGATATCACGGTATGAGAGAAGTCCAGGTTTAAATCCTGGCTGAGGTAATATTTTTCGTAATAAGTTCCTTCTAATTAGGTATTCATTTTCTGTTAATTATTCACCGGCGAAAAAAGATTATTACTCGTATTTGATACACTTTTTCATAGCGATTACACATTACACCCACGAGAAAGATTTCTGGATCCAATGTTACCGCACACTTTGTTCTGTGATAAAATAGTATTAATACAGGAGCGACAATCATATTTATTATTGAGAAAAGAACATTTTAATCTAAATGGAAAATTTGGAGCTCTAGAATAAAATGCTATTGATGCATACGTTATAACGCATCGAGAGAAAATTTATTCTAAACGCATGAATAATACAAACTTATAAATTTATGTAGGTATGTTTCTCATCTCAATGTATTATAGCAAGTCAATCTTGTTTAAAAGGCAAATGGGAATTATTGCTTTGTCTTCTCACTGCAGGAGATTGCGATAAGTTTAAATATGTCAAGAATGTGTTTTGTCTTGTTATTAAAAATCGTTTCTGAGATGGTAAAAGTATAATCATTACAAGACGAGAGATAAACCGCTTCTTCGCCGGTGGCAGTCTATAAAGACTCTAAATATAAATTTAGAGCGGCATATTCAAATATGAGCAAACGATATACCGAGAGAGAATATCAGTAAGTTACACTACCGAGAGGCGTGAGGTCTCTCGGAAACAAGGGCATGAACATTGTTGTCGTCGCTTATTCAAAAATTTATGTACATAAGAAGGGAGTATAAATTTCAGTTCCCTCAGACACGATCTTTATCAAAATTTTAGAAGAGAAACTATCTGGAGAGAACGTCGATACGGGGTACGAGGCTATGTTATATTCAGCTATCGAAACCTATATAATAAATCATCGGATAGGCAAATATAATGTTAACTCTGGATGTACACCGTCACGTACGCTGAAAGAATTTTCTCTTAAAATTCACCCTGAAAATTATGTAATCGTGGGACAATATGGCATTTTAAAGAATTATATAAAAGTTTTTTGAAACTTTACACCATACATTTCACTAATTAATTATACTTAGTGTACATTTTACTAGTAGAATGTACGGTAACATTTCAAAAAACTCTCATAAAATTCTTCAAAACGCCATGTTGCCCCACGATTACATAATTTTCAAGATAAATTTTAAGAAAAAAATTCTCTCCGTGTAGAAATCGCAAAAATGAGCATAAATTTCACGGCTGTTCATCGACGTTCAATCAAATATATTGAAGCACTCTTGTGCTTTACTATAAAAAAAAATACTCTTGAATTGAAATGCAGAATTAAGCGGTAGCCGATCATCCAATAAAGAAATATTGATCGTGGAAAAATAACCGGCACGACTAAACTCTTGCATCGACAGAGAGGGAAATAGAGAGAGAGAGAGAGAGAGAGAGAGAGAGAGAGAGAGAGAGAGAGAGAGAAGTTTGCACATTCGATACAGAAATATACATACTATCCGCGAGATCTGTTTGCCCAGAGAAATAACACAGTAAATATATAGCGCGTATGCAGATGCATTTGCGTGCTCTGCGAAATAAGTTCGGGTGATGTTTGTCCACCTATAGTACAATTATCGATTCGCGCAACGAAACGATCAATCGCGCGTTTCTTTCAGAGCCTCTTTTTTTCTCGTGCATGGATGGCCAGCGCGTGCAACGATATATCCCACTGCTGTCGGTTTGCACCGAATTAAGAGAACAAAAGAATAATTCGGGAAGCGTAACTTCTACCATTAGTTTCAGTTAAACATATTTACGGGAATAAAAGAAACTAACTCGATACTGTCACGAATTTGCTTCGCAAAGCTAAGGACTGGAAAATTCAAATAAAGTTTAAAGTTCGTTATACATTTTGCGTCGTACCCGTCCGTTTTATATCATTTAAATATCAATTTACATGTATAAAAAAGCTAAGTCGCAATTCAACACTGCCTCCTTTTCGAGACGCGCTGATTGATTTTGCCGTTGTGCACTGTTTATTCGTTTCACATCGTGAGTTGTTATTGAAAAAATTATACGTTTAGAGAGTTATTTTCTCCCATATGAAAAGAGTTAATAGCGATGTGAATAATTTTCACCTTCATGAAGACTTTTGTATCAATGTTGAAAGGTGGGAAATCATAACATGCACATTCAGATTTTGTGCCGCGATGCGTATTTCATACGCAAAAAAAATAGCTGTTGTTGTAGAAGTTGTGCGTTGACAGTCTGATGGAAGGAGATTGATAACTGTGCGAGTAATTTTATTAAGAATGAATTTGATATTGATTGATTTGTGCAATAACACGCGCCGTTTTATTTACTGTTTTCTTGGTGGACATCTCACTGCGCACTTGAGATCACCCGTGATATAGCACCCGCAATTTTAATTAGATTTCAAAGTCTTGAACTTTTGAGAAGTAATTAAGATTTATGAGGAAGAACTTAAATCTCATTTCAATTTGTAATTGTCATTTGTAATGTAATATGAGTTGAAAGATCAAAGTAGCTACTAGTGAAGTAGGAGCAAGACTTAGTTGCGCAATGAAAATTAATAACAGCTAGATTGTGAAAATTAATAGAATGATCTATGTTTACACGTGCAGCATTACGACCATGAGCTACTTGCTAACGATTAACCTTAATCGCATAAAATTCTACAGCTATTATAATCCCGATATTCTCATGATCGAACTCTTGATTATACTTTATTTTCAAAACACAATTAAAATTATTAATCAATCAACATTTCCCATAGCCACAATCGCGTTTACAACCATTTCGCTTAATGTATTTAAAAATATATGAAAACTTGAAATGTGTATCTGATGCAGTATTGAAGAAAAATGCAAAAATTAATAAAAATGGAACATTTAGAAAAATGTGCATTTAACGAATGTAAATCTATGACATATAAAAATTTAATACGAGTTTTATACAGTTCAACAGAAAATTTCTGACTAGTGATTTTTAAATAAATTGAAATTGAAACTAAATATATTTACTTTAATAACACAATTTTTTAAATGTTGGCAAAATTTCACAAAGTCGTAAATACACCGCGGACGCGGCGAGTGCATTGTTGTGTTCTCTGACAGTGTCATGATAATCTTCTTTTGCATATTACGCTGCGTTGAAATCGAGTTTACCCGCAGGGCTTTAATATTAATTCCACGATATTTATAGCTGGCTCAAACAATTCTAAACAAAAGTTTGGTGTTTGGCCTAATTTTTCGCCGAAATTTTTTGCGGCGGTTATTATGTTTAAAATATTGAACAAAGTATGATCGTAACTAGACCAATCTTGCACGTAATTTTCGGCGGTGTCTCACATTACATAAAACAAAATTCACGCCTCAAGATTGTAATTTTTTAATTATATATGTATAAATAGGCCTTAACAATTTGGGGATTTTCCTTTAAACTTTTGGAGTCCTTTTTCTCTTAAATGTCCTTAGATTTTTATTGCGTATAAAAATTATTCCGCCATCTGCGCGGAGAAGTTATTTTGCGTCTTTTGTTCATTTATAGTTTTCTAGCAATCTCGCAGTTTATATAACTATTATTATCACAGTTATTATTATCGACATTTCACATTTATCATAAAATAATAATGCGCATTTAGAGCAACCATGCGATCATTACAGCGCGCAGCGTCGCGGTTAGAATAGCGTGATATAATTACGTGCGGTTTAATGATTCGTTCACGTATTTGCATATTTTGGCAAAAACAAAATGATTCATGAAACGATCGATTCTCAATGTTGTTGCGCTTTTGTTACGTATTAAGTATTAATAAACAATTTACTTTTGTATTTCTTAAAAATTGCAATAAGGAGTGCTTCAATATCGTCGATCGATTTATAAAGAGAAATCCGGCCGTTCACCTATAATTATCTGTCCCAACCATTTTGACATTCTAAGCTTCTAATATAAATAGATGGATGACCCTGACGGGGTCGCAAATATTTCACTAAAAATACAGTGAAATTCTTTCAAAATGCATTTGAAAGTCTCTCTCAATTGACCCCGTTTCATTATTATTTCAGTACTTAGCTTTTGTTAAAAAGTAACACAATTTTCAGTTAAATTCAGTAAATTTTAAAATTTTTGTATTACTTTTCGATAGTATACTTTAACTTTTATTAACTTTCACAACGTTACGTTGAATTTCACAAACAAAATTGTGATTCAACTCGATAGAAAAATTTCCATTGGACAAATCGATTAAAGGCCAGTTTCACACAAACGTCGGTTAACTGCTAACTGAAGGTTAACTGATCCTCTGTCTCTTCTTGGATAATAAGATAGAAGAAGATAGGGAATCGATTAAACTCTGGTTAACAATTAACCGACGTTTGTAAAATTAACCATCGGTTTTTCTCATTAAGTTTTCCGATCAAATTAGGGATATATTCAATGAAATATATCCAATCAAATTGCCAACGAAATTTAATCGAAACCCCGATTATATCTTGCATCGGTTATACAATTTAATCGATACATCCGTTTGTTAATATGTAATTGAATTATCCGATTAGATAGGCCAGGATAGTTTGCTCGGTTTCAGTAACTTTCATTTCACCTTTCATCGATTTCATCGTACTTTTAGCAAATTATTTCCCTAAGTGGAGAAACTGAACATCGCGGACTGAGTTCTCCTCCGAAATATCGCGAGAGCGTCTCACCCTCACCTAGCATCTTCAACACCCTCCTGGACGATCTTCCGGGATGATGCCTGCAGTTTCTCACCGACTCGCTTCTACCCGGGACCGTCATGTTGGACTTCCTGAGCTTGAGGCCGATCAGCACGTAGAGAAACGTGATGAGGCACATCGGTATGACGAAGAACAGGAACGTGGACAGCGCGAACGAGTGGCTGACGATGATCCTCTTGACCGTGCACATTACCATGTCGGGATGATCGTTGTGCCGGACCACGCCGAACTGCAGGGCCTGCGGTAACGCGAACAACAACGCCACTAGCCATACCACCAGGATCAGCTTGATCGCGCGGGACAGATTCGACAGGGTCTGCGAGAGGAACGGGTGGCAGATCGCGACGTATCTCTCGACGGTGAAGGCGGCGATGGTGAGGACCGACGCGTTCGTCGACGTTTCCGACGCGAGGCCGCGTAACACGCAGAAACCCTCGCCGAAGATGTACGGATACTTGCACCAGACCAGGTACATCTCCGCGGGTAGGCCCGACACCAGCAGCAACAGGTCGGACACCGCCAGGCTGAAGAGATAATAGTTGGTGGCGGTGTGCATAGACTTGTTGCGCGCAATCACGATGCACGTGCTGACGTTGCCGATGATCCCCGTGAGGAAGATCGCCACGTAAATTACGGTCACCGGTATCACCACGTACAGAGGATCCCGGTACTGGCCGGGCAACATTTCCCTGGGGCCCAGGATGTCCGTGTACGTGTCGTTGAGGCGAAACTCCGAGAACGACGCGAGGATGTCATCGTAGCTATCTCTCGAGTGAGTGCCGTTTGACAGGGCGGACACCGCCGTTGGGGCCATCGCGATCTTAATCACTCGATGGCAAGTCCTTTGCTCCTTGACATTCTGGACCACTTTCGGCAAGCGATTCTCTACTTCGTAGCGAAACTGCAAACGTTCCTTCGTGCCTATCGCCCGTCAATTGGTCTCGGTCAATGAAGTTGAAATCCGCTGCGCGCACCGTTAAGTTCTTCCTTCTCTGTTCAAGTTGCTCTTCCTTTCGTCCCGCTCAGAGTAAATTGACCTCTCGTATATGAAAGACGGAAACGAGAGCGACTCTCGTTTGATTGGATTTTCAAGTTCGAGTTGCCAAAGAAAATAAAAATTTTCGCTCTAACGCGGAAGCTTGTTTCCAGCGGGGCAAGAACTCGTCATCACTTCACTTTGTTACTGAAGCGTGTGTAACGAGCTTGAGATCACGAACCTCGCGAAATGTCTCGTCGAGTGAAACCGAAGCGAGTGCCGCAATGTAGCTTTTTACTGGGTGCCAATTGGAACCTGTCTTTTAATTTCCGTGTCGACGGAGCGCTGCTTATTTAGCTTCCCTCGTGTATACGGAAGGTCGAGAGCACGTGGTGGCTTCACTAACAATCTTGCGTGGTCTGTTTTCCCGCGGGCGTTCGTTCGCGCAAAGTGCGCTACGGACGCTGGTCGAATCACGACTGCCGACGTCGCGACGCGCCGAGCAGACACGCCGGCCGTCCGTCTATCCGGCAGGTTCAGCGCTGGCGCGCCAATATGTGCCTCCCGAGCTCGTCTGGATTTCCCGTTTTTACAAATTCCTTTTCTTCGATTGATCATGAAACAGCCAGCGAACCCCTCGTTTCTTTTACAACCAGGTCTTCGATTCGCGTACCTGCGACTCGAATAACGTTTCGATTTTTACGGTAACATTTACTCGCAACCGTATAATGTTGCGCAAGCTTCCGCCCCAATTCACAGGCTAAATTATATTTATATATTTATTCAGTGATTTAAACAGAGATGAAGACAGACAGACAAAGAGAGAGAGAGAGGGGGATGCTCTCTCCCTTGTGTCTATTATGTTTCCCTCAATTTCTTGTCACGTCACGCATTTAGATTTTTACGTTCCGATTCTGAAAAAATCAAACTTCACAATGATTGGCTGGTTGACGTCGAAACGATTTCGACGTCTACTCGGCATCGGTCGACGAGCATTTCTCGCTGGGATAGAAAGACTTGAGAGGTAACTGTATTTTCAAAAATTTTTATGACATACTTCTTGAGTGATGCAATTAGTCAGCTGTCCAGAAACGTATTGACAACTGCCCGAGAAAATGGTGCAGTCGAAATGTCAGAGAAATGCTGTAAAAATACTATCTTTTAAAGGAGACTCGTTACAGCAGCACAAGTCGTCCTGGCGTTTCCTTGGAATCTTATATTTTACTACGCAAACGCAATTAACGTTATTGTGTTTCGATACAGTTATAGTGTATCCACTCCAATTTATTTCCAAGAGACATTTTTCTTCTAGTTTAGCTTATGCTTTTCGATGTCTGATTTCAGAGTGGCACGAAACAGAGCGGATATACGCGAAAAAATGAACGGGAAATAATCTGGAAATATTATACGCCCTATTGTCTTATCGTCTGTTGTCTCTGTCAGAAGTTATTTGGTCATATTTATGGAAGCCCGTGTACAAATGTGACAAGTAATTATTTAATAGCAATCACGGAGTATAAACATGGTGAAGCCGTTCACAATCGCGTGCGTTCTCGTACACGTGCCGCATTATGTAAGTCGAAACTGCAGAAACTCACTACGATTCAAACCGCGCAAAAAGAGAAATTAATTCGTAAAACGTTACCTCGCCGCGGGTGGGGTGAAATTGCATCGGATTACTTTAATATTCTGGAGCGCCAGGTCGACAAGCGAAGCTAACTCGAAATCGCCCGGAAATTAAATGAAGTTGCATCTGTGTCAGCGTGCAATTTATTTGTCTCTTAGTCAGATTGTTTAACATTATTGCACGTTGAAGAGGATCGTCATCCTTGTCGCACTTGTCTCGTGTAATAGTGTCACAGGGTCTAGAGTGATCCGCACTCAAGGACGATAACGTTATCGAAACAGGGTTGAAATGCGACGTCGTTCGCCGCCACCCTCACAATTTGCGGCGACCTAGGAGAACACGATGGACATCGTAAGACACGTGACGCATAATCACCTTCGCCAATTACGCCCAGAAAAAAGTTTATTTGAGATCAAACAAATTCGTGTTGAATTTTGATCTTGCTGGACTTTTATTTAATTTCAAAGACATAATTTCTTTACCTCAACCAAAATTTTATTTGATCGAGGCTGGAATTTCTAAGAGAATTCATATCTATTTTTTTTTTAATCTAGCAAAGCGTTTTAGCAGAAGTAAATGAAAATTTAGTAGACTCAAACAAACATAATTTTAACGTATCTCTTTGTTTAACCTAATTAAATCTTTTTTCTGGGTGTAGATAGCACTTGAAGTCCTACGCGATTCTATAGATTCTAGAAATTGATATATCACTTTGCGCTTTACCATGCTTCCTGATTCTGCGCGGCCAATTGCTTCCTTTTTCTTTTCACTTCTCAGCAAATCCTATTTTAAAGTATCGACTGTTTATCTCAACTGTAACGTTTATGAAGGCGTATCGACATTATTACTGTTGTCAGAGATTATTGTGTCGATACTTTGAGCGTGTCGAAGACAAAATCGACCGCGAGTAATGGTGCACGACGCTCATTGTAGAAATTGACAATTCTCGAGCTTTGAACTGTGCATCAATTGATTATTTGGACAAACTGTAGAGCGCTAACTTGCATATTATCTCGTTTAATTAATGTACGTACGCGCGGTCGACCGTTCTTTGTTACATCTCAATTCCTTAGAGTGACATTAAGGTCCATTCATTATTAGAACTCGTTACGTTACAAATTAATAGTGTTTAATGTTAAACGTCACGATGCCGAGTCCACGTGAATCGGTAAAGAGAAGCAAATTAATTATACTACCCTTAAGAAAAAATGCAATCAAAACTGATAAAAAAATTTATCACTAACTGATGGATAACTAATCATTGTAACTGATGACAGCGCTACCAGTATATTGAAGCAATTTTTCCAGTTATTGATATAAAAACTGGTCATTTGTTCAGTTTTTATATCAATAACTGGTTTTTATATTCATCAGTAATTGATAAAATTTCCAGTTCTAGTTGCGTCATCAGTTGAGTCGCCAGTTGTAGCTGATCGGTTATCCAGTCAGTTAGTGTCCAGTTGTCAGTTCAGTTCCCTTTCACCAGTTCTGTTAAACATTTTTTATAACAATATATATATATATATATATATACAGGGTGTTACACAAGTATTTTATTACTATTATTGTTTGTGTAACAGTAATGTAAAACTATTACAATTGATTATTGACTGTCACAAACTTACTAATTAAGAAAAAGAACTGAGTAGCAGCATCAGTAATTGATGATGTTGAATCGGTAACTTGTAGCGTTCTCAGTGACTGATTACAAGAGTTAGTTACTGGTAATGTTCCTCAGTTGCCGTCTAGTTTTAATAATCAGTTTCTGCATCACTCTGAAAAACTAGTTACGCAATGATTGTTATCGGTAACTAAATATAGATCAATACTTATAGTGAACTCGGTTGCTTCCACTAGTGCGCACTGAGTGCACACTAAGCCTTGTTTCCAGTCAATTCTTATATTTAAAGATCATCTTAAATGCCTCTTGCAATATTTCTTATCCAGAAAAATAGTCTGTATAACGTTTATACGGATCATTTTTTTACTAAATACTCTTTAAATATGTATTTAAGACAAAGTTAAATGCAAGAACTGACTATAAATAAGCCTTAGTGTGCACTCAGTGCGCACTAGTGCAAGCAACCAAATTCGCTATTAGTTACTGATCAGCACTTGGTTACTGATAATAACAATTATTGTCTAACCAGTTTTTTAGAGTGACGTAGAAACTGATCATTAAACCTGGCCGTTAAAGAAACATTATCAGTAGTTGACTCTCGTAATCAGTCACTGATAGAACGCCACAAGTAACCGATTCAACATTATCAGTTACTGATGCTGTTAATCGGTTAATTCTTTTTCTTAAGAGTATAATTGCCGCGAGTAATCACTTCAGTTTTTGAGAGAGTCACACAAATCTCTTTCTTATTTTTCCGTACGATTACATCTCCGTATAAAAATGATAGTTAAAAAATATCGCGACAACAAGATACACTTATTTTTCATTTATATGCAAACTGGCATGAAACAATATTATATTTAGGACATAGCACAAGAAGATACGTTTATCGTGCAATAGGGAGTTATCTCGACGATATCGCATTTCACGCCTCCAACATTTGCATGTAGGATTACGATACCGGAGATTGCAAGAAAATGTCATTATTATTTCACCGTTTTGATAACGCGAGACTTTACTGCCTAAACATAGGCGCACGATTTTATATATAAGCGTACAAATTCCCCTACAAATTGCTGTGCACAAAGTGGCAATTAATAATGAATAACGCACAGTTGTAAATAATAAATCGTCGAGTACAGCCCCTCAAAAGTTGCACAGCGTCACCAACCGGTATCATATACCATCACTCGATCGATTGATACGACATCGGTGTCGCCCGACGAACTATAAACTTTCTCAACTCGATACCACAGGTAAACGTGGCAGTCGTAATTAGAGATGGTTATAAACCGCGGATATGTGCTACGTGCGGCGTCCAATTAATACAGATTGAATTTAATTGTAGAAACTCGATTATATTCAGCAATCGGGATGTCGACTGTGCATGCACTTCTTCCCTTTGAAGTCGAAAACCTCGTTAGTTAAAAGAGATATTATTCTGTGGTTCCGTCTTATTTTCAGAGATATTAATGTCTTAAGAAAAATCCACAATTCGCGTTATAGATTTTAGGATATCGCTTGTGATAAAGGGGATACGTAATGACGCTCGTGCGCTGATATGTGATATGAATATAATATATCTCAAACGCAAGCAATAAGAGGTGAAATGTTCCCAGATTAATACGTAGGTTTATGCCGGTAATGTTCCACGCAACAGAATAATACAACAGAATTGTAATACATACGATTGCATGTATGGTAAATTCAGCATTTCTGATTCTTCTCGTAAGCCGAACATATTCTTTCATTAGCTTTCATTAAAGACCTTGTACGATGCCTATGTAATTTCACTGTAACATAACAAACTCGCGAAAAATCTTCAAATAACAATATTTATCAAGAAGAATATTATTGTCGCCAGTAATTGATTAAAATAAAAACAGGAAGAAAAATGTTTGACGACCTTAAACTGGCTAAAGTGGTTTAATTTAACACTTTATTCCAACGTTTCGACCATATGGATTGTGGTCCTTTTCAAGGAAATATATGGATTGGTTAAAAATTAAATTATAAATAAAATGTCACCCGTCTCTGGATATCGGTCGGAAAAACTGTGTTTGAAGGCACGTCCATCCGACACAACAGCCACAGTGGGACTGAACAAAATTTATAAAAGTAAAATTTCTCTCAAAAATAATTTCCTTTTGAGAGATTTAGAACATTTTTACTTTTGCGAGAACGAAATAAAAGCGAGAGGAAAAAAGGCGTAGAGAGAGAGAGAGAGAGAGAGAGAGGAGGGGAATGTCGTCTCTAAAAGATCTCGCAAAGTACACGAGTAGTAATTTTTTAAACAACTTTTAAATCTACATTCCATCTAAAGTTTTTTCAGATGTATTAAATTTTCGCAATATTATGAGAGTGTACTCTTTGCGAGATTTGTATACTGTATTTAAAAAACAAAATAAGGTTTTATCTATGAAAATTAGCTACATGATGTAACACGGAGCAATTTAAGAATAAAGACTTATTGTCGCCAGTAAATAGTTAACCAATGTAGGAAATTAATGATCGACACAACTGGCAAATTCCAATTAAAAAAATTTTATTACGAAAAATATTACCTCAGCCAGGGTTCGAACCTGGACCTCCCTACAGTCTAGGCGGGCGTCTCACCAATTCGACTACTGAAGCATGAGGTAATATTTTTCGCAAGAAAATTTCTTTAATTAGAATTTGCCATTTGTGTAGATTATTAATTTCCTACATTGGATAAAGCAATTTAATTTACACTAATCAATCAGTATTTCTTACAATAACATCAGGACTTTTTGGACAAATTCGGAAATGATGTCATTAGAGAAGATAATGTTCTGTCTTACAAAGGAAGATCTTTGATTCGGAAATTCAAAAAGTAATAAGCTACTTTTTGTTATTAGAATTTAAAATTGATTTCTATAAATTAAACAAATAAATTAGACTCTCGAAGATATAAATAATAAAATGGCATATGGGCAGTGAGAGTAAAAAACGCAGGTAGTGTTGCGTGAGTTTCATCAATCATATTCACTTAATAATCCATTTTTCGCTCTTACTGGCTAAATGTTATTTTATTATTCCAGAAATTACCCAAGTTTCCGTTTGCGTTTTTATTATTTATCAACAAAAACGAATAGAACAAAATTTTGTTTCTTTTAGTGAGATTTAAAGATCAGAAAACTTATTAATTGTTCAAAAAGTCATAAAAATGCATAAACGAAAGAAGGAGAAATATATTTGCATTTAAAGAAATAAATTTTCTTGTATTTTCTGTTGGCGAATAATAAAACAAAAGCGAAAAGCGAGGTTCAAGAATTGGATTTTACGCTTTCAGGATAAATTTGGTCAGCAGAAAATGACGTATTGCGTGTCAGAACATCCTCTATGTATTGTCGAAATTTTTATAAGTTTTTTAATTTCCGAAATGAGAATCTTTCATTGTCAGTCATGCAAATATCATGGTATATTGTGAACCGTAATAAAAGGATCCTAACACGGTACGAACGGACATTATTAAACATGTAGAAATCTATTTGGAAAGGGAGGAAATACGATTTATTTTATGTACAAACTTGTGTATGTTAACGTACGATATCTTTCAAACGAAGAATCAGTCATTCTGTATTCGTACACCGCTCTTTTGCCGTTGTTTAATCGAATACATAGTACCAATATCTATTTACATATCAGTTTTACGACAGACTCCATTTAACTGTAAAGTAAGCGTAATAATTTCCTTGTCGACTAAGAAAGCACGCGAGGAAAAAGAGGAGTACATCGAGTGATCATCCATAATAACGTCGACGGATACTCAGTGCAGGAACTTTTATCTGCAATCATAGTAACAAGTACAATTAGATTTAGCAGCACGCGATTACTCAACGTAATGATCGACGTAACAATGAGATTTGAAGCACTTTACTGAGGGTATTAAAAATACAGAATTGCATTGATAAAGAAAAAGTGAATAAAACAAATTTCTTGCTTCAACTATATGCGGTGGTCGAACAAATATTTGTTCATTCGCAAAAATACTTGTTAATTCAAAAAAATATACGTCTCGCTAAACGACGTGTGTTTCACTTAAAAATATTTCAACTAACGAATTACTGTAAAATTAAACAAACGGTTATATCAACAAAAGTCATATATTTTTCTTTCTCTTTCAGTGTTTTGTATTTTATTCTTTAATACGTCAGCTTTAATTCGTATATCGTATACGTAATGGTAAATAAATGTATTTGTGAGCATGTTATGTCAAAACTTACCTGAAAATGATTGGTGACACCGTAGTAAGGATATATGCCACCAAGGACATAGCGATAATAACCATTATGTCTGATGCGGTATTCGCCCGGTTTAACGTCCTGCGGGATTTCCCACGTAATGGTCACCTGACTCGACCCCAGTATCATAGAAGTTCGCTTCCATTCAAATCTAAAAGCGCACATATCCCGTTGCGATTTATTACGCTATGAAAGGTAAAAATAAGACACGGCTAAAAGGAATAGAATTGCGTTTCGTATTTCAAACTGCATCCCTTGTATCTATTATCGCTGAATATGTATTTCAAGATGATTGGCATGATTTGGTACACGTACTTGGTTTCCCAATCAGCATCCGTGGCCACTGGCACCCAAACTTCATCATCCTCTAACTGTTCCACGGTTAAAAACGTGCCGTCGGACATTAAATTGTTACGAGGATGGCCGGCGACCTGTAACAGAAATAACCAGGGCCATCATGTAACTCGGTCAATTTCTTCTCACATGTCACAATTGTCGAATTGGAAAAGCCACCCGTCGCGGATTTGGGGTGAGTCCAATTTCAAACCCTGGCTGAGGTGATATTTTTCGCAATAAATTCTTCACAGGGGATTTAAATAAGACGTGTATTAGCGGCCAACATTTAAATCGATTATCGATTTAAAGTACGAACGGAAAAAAGCTCTTGAATTAAAAAACTAAATAACGCAAAGAATTATTTAACGCCAGTAATTGTTAAAAAATATTAAGTTACTTATTGAATTAAACGTTAACGTCACGGGCTGCCACAAACATAAATAATTCACTCAATTGTATATTTGCTACGGATTTTCAGCATTGAACTAAATATCCGGATTACTAAGACAACTGTCTGATGTTTTTTTATTCAATACTGATGTTGTTTCAACGATTATATTTCAGCTACACTAATCTTCTTGATACATCATTTTTATCCCGTGCGTGAATTTATTTTTGTAACAAAATTGGAACTGTGTCTCAAGCGCACAGTTCACTGAATTTGGAAAAAATATATGAAATACGAAGTATAATAATAATTATATAAAATACGAAGTTCGTGATTTCATGTCAGAGCCTTATGAATTTTGAAACTTAAACGCCATTTAGGATCTGGCATCTGGCCACCACCTATGCCAGGTTCTAAATGGCGTTTAAGTTTAAAAATTAATTGTTGCTTATGAATTTTATTTCTTTAAATATATAAAATTTACACAATATTATTTAGGCTACGAAAACTCAGTCCCGAACGAAATTAGCGTATTATAATATAATATATTATAATATATTATATTATAATATATTATAATATATTATATTACATAATTAGTCTTTTTTCTCTTCTATTCAATGTTATTGGACCATAATCAAACGCGCGAAAAACTGTATCTTTGCTCGAAGATAAACGAGAATCTCGCTATTTCCTCCTCAATCTACGGCTGTCCATTTCGAACGGAATTGCAAAGCGACGTGTTTTACATACCACATCTGATAGCGCGAGTAACGGGTCCGGCGAGAAAAGTTTTTCCAAACGATCAATAGCGAGACAAGAATGGAAAAGTTCCAAACTAATCTCGCGCAAGTCGATTCATTTGTACCTGTGCTTTCACGATGCATCTCGCGCCTTCGCCGCCGGAAATTATAGCCAGAGGGTAATTTACGATTACTTAATCCGTTCGCACCGCGCGTCACCGAAGGCAACCTATTTTCCGAGCGTTACGCGAGCGCGCGGGAAAATGTCCGCGTTGCTTTTTATTGCGTGACTCAATCGCGATAAAAACGCGGATCTGCCACGATTAACGATCCAACGACGATTTCCGCCCGTGGAAGATCGACGAAGCGATCATTCTCACCTTTATTTACCGAATCAACGAAAGCAAGTATGTATTAGATAAGTTTCTTGAGAACAACTACATATTGAAATAAAGTAAATTTTACAGAGTTTATTGCATAAGAATAAGTCAACTCGCGAGCTAATATAAGAGTTATTACATAATTTTGAAATCAATTTTATTCATAAATATATGTAATGTTGAACATTTCGACCCATTTGATCGTTCTCGATACTGACTCATTGTCAGAACAATTGATTAAAATTTTACGTAGGAAACAGTCCACAATTTTTTAAATTTTAATTCTCTGGAGTTTACAACAATCGTGGTTTATAAAAAATACAGGAAGCAGTGACAAAATATCTAGCAATTAGTCAACGAGCAATTAAATGTTGACCAAATTAAAAATTAACAGTCTACAAATTGAATCAATGTTATAAAAAAATATATGGTCCACCATTGTTAACTGTAAACGTCAGACTATCCGCATCCGCTTCTTATTATTCTAAAGTCGTATAACCAATATTTTACACGACTTTAGAATAAGAAGCAAATGCGGATAGTCTGACGTTTACAATTAAGTTAACAATAGTGTGTGTATACATATATATATAAAACAGTTACCAACGTCAGTGTTTTCTTGACCATACCTGACATTTTTAATAATACAGAAAATTTATTGCGAAAAATATTACCTCAGCCAGGATTTGAACCTGGACCTCCCTACACTCTAGGCGGACGCCTCACTAATTCGACCACCATTAATAATTTTCGCAATAAATTTTCTGTATTATTAAAAATGCCAGGTATGGTCAAGAAAACACTGACGTTGTTAATTACCGCTGGCGACATTGAAGAATTCTTATTAGTTAAAACAGTTAATTTAGAGAAAATGCTTTAGTCGGGCTGGATACTGGTAGTCTAATAATAATATTTCTGTGCTCTCTAAAAATCAAACAGTGAATTATCACTGAAAACAGTGAATAGGCACTGATTTATAGTTATAAGTATAGTATAACACTGCGACTTTCAGTGGTACACTATATAGGAACAAATTGATGACTCCAAAATGGCGATAAATATTTTAATGATAAATTCATTGTATCATTTTAAGAGAATTCGTACATGAAAATATTGTGGTTACAGCAGTTTTCAAATGGAGAAAGCTGTAAAGCTCGGGGTTAGAATTTTGCACGCTCAAAGACGGCAAAGTGACTAGTTATAAATGCACTTCTAATTTTTAACAATAATGAAATTATTTTACAAATACGCAATAAGAGTTTCATTAAGAAACTCTTTACTACTTCTGTTAATCCGTAACAAATTTATCATAAAACAGTCGCAGTTTTTATTCAATACTGTATTATGTATCAATGCTGTCTGCTGTCATTACCATATTTATGGATAAATAGAGATTTCTTCTTAGTGAAATTCTTATTGCATATTTGTATTTTGCAATTTCATTATTTATATCAACAATGTTTGGTTTACGGAAACATTTTTATTACTGACTATTGTGCCATCTCTGCACGGAGAGAATTTTCTCTTAAAATTTACCCTGAAAATCATGTAATTATGGGACAACAAAGCATCTTGAAGACCTTTATGCGAGTTTCTTGAAATGTCACGTTGTCCCACGATTACACGATTTTCAGGATAAATTTTAAGAAAAAAATTCTCTCCACGTGCGTACAAAATTCTAGCCCTATCATTTGAGATCTTAAAAATTTGTTTATTTGAAAACTGTTAAAAAAAAGATATACAATAAATTTGCCAATAAAATATTTATCATAAACTTAGGGACATCCTGTACAAATCTGTACGTGTATGCTTATACACAAGGGTGTGCACAAAATTAATTAATTTAGCAAGTGTGTTTGATGGTTAATATTTGTACGTAATAAATAATCAACAACTTGATTAATAATCCATGCCTTTTGATTACTGTGTCATTATTTATTGTCGATAATTAACCGCTTAATTATATTTGCCATTGTACGCAATTCTTAGTTAATTTATGATCAAAGTCATAAAACAATATAGGGTTGCAATTATTTAACCTGTATCCGTTTACATTATCTACTCATGTCACACGCGCCATTGTAGCCTCCGGATAAAGGAAGAAAAGAGGATGGGATACAAAAAATAGCGGCGTAAGATACTCTTTTGTTCGAATTTTTGTCATGAAGCTTTTATGTCAAGTTGGTAATATCGTATCAGCAGTAATTTCGTTTCCGTTAGACGGAAAATTCCATTATAACTTATAACTGTAAATCACCGACTATTCGCTGTTTTCAGTGATAATCCACTGATTGACTTTTAGAGAGCGAGCCAATTGTAAATAGTTTATATTCCTCAGTTCTTCAATGTTTTTTGCAAGTACTTGCGCTCATCCCTTGCTGTACTTTTCGTACGCGAATTTATACGACCCCGGTTTTCTCAGTTTACGGTCAGACAATTACCTTTCTAAAAGTCGATCAGTGGATTATCACTGAAAATAGTGAATAGTCATTGATTTACAGTTATAAGTATACTACTAAAAATTGGTATACTTATAACTGTAAATGAGCGACTATTCGCTATTTTCAGTGATAATTCACGGATTGATTTTCAGAGAGTGGAATTCACTCAGGAAATCGGATTACGTATTGCGAGCAGTTTCCACGGTTAAGTTTGTATCGCTGCGAGTTCGCAAAGTTTTCCTGTTGCCGCAGCGGGCGGCCTTGGCTAACGATTCGCAGTGTGTTATGCCGCAGGCTAAAGGTTCATTATTGCGGTGTTTACAGACAGTCAATGTGCACGGGTCGCATAGTAATCGGTCCATTTCGCAGCATATCCACCGTTCAATGGGTCGCGAAGCGAACGGCACCGCCACCATGTAAAATGGAATTGCACGTGTTTTGCGCAAGCTACCGCCTCCCGTCTCCCCGACCTACCCGAATTCAATTACGTCGCGTTTCGCGCAATGTGCCTGCGTGATACGCCGATACGCATTTGATCCAGTTTGCGGTCGCGTCGATTGATCTATTATTTGAAAACGGATGACGGATTTTACGCCGGGAAAATCCCCGGGAGGCGCCTCCTCCAAGTGAGATAAATCGTTGGCCGAGAGAGATACTTACGAAGATCGCCGTGACCGTGTCACCGGGCGACGCGACTTTCCGCGGCTGCTGGATAACGTCCCCGAAGTTGCGGCCCCATCGCGGAGTATCGTATAGCACGGGAGGTACAAGGGTGATCAAGTTACTGAACAGCAACTGCGGAGCGGCCGGTCCCGATGGGACAGGTTTATTCTGCAACAACGATAAAACAACATAAGAAAATGAACAAATTGAAGGAAAAGCCAATGTAAGCCAAAGCGCCGGATTAAAAAGGCAGACAATTTTTTTATAATAAATGGTTTTTAAAAAAGTGATATATGTATATGTGTGCGTTTGTATATCACTGTGTCAATTAATATTATAGACATCTGCAGTGTTTTTAGTTTCGCATATGAAAGCTTTTACTTGTCAAAGCGATTAAAAAATGAGATAACAACTTTATCAGATTTGAAAACACTTCTCTTTTGTTGAAAGCACACTATTGTTTATCCTTACATAGAACGCCCTTTTAATCGGGCGCTTTGGCTCACATTGGCCCTTCCTTCAATTTGTTATATTTTATTGGGAGCCCTCGCCACACATGGACGATAAGTAAATCAAACTCTCGATAATACAAACGCAGAAGTGACAATTGGGCAGTGAAAGCTTGCCGCGGTTATTATTGCGTGAGTAATATAATCAAAACTGTTTTCAGCGATGATTCACTGATTGATTTTCAGAGAGTATGGTTATGAATTTGCGGGCGCATACTCATGAACTCACGATATTTCTTAGAACATAAGTGTATAATATTACTTGTTAAGGACCTGCAATCAGGTCAAAACGTCGTAGTTTTTTTTTAATAAATTAATTTCTTGTCAATTCAGTCGACTAAGTTTGCAACTTAGTGTTATTTTTACGTTTATAAGGGTAAAACGCAATGTGCGTCCTCAATATAAATTCTGTGCGTCGAGTGTGCAATTCTCGCGCGATGACGTGAAAGACGGCTGATATGTAACTTCTGCGAAAATAATAACTGATTACTAAGCGGAGAAACATGCTCACACCGTGAGACTGACTGCATCTCGGTAGCGAAGAGAGAGCTTCTCGATTCTGAATTGACAATATTTCTATATATTTCGTATGTTTTATTTACTCACTTGAACGGCCGCTCGTACCAGCTCCTGATATTGTTTCAAGTATATCGTGAGCGTATGCGGACCGTAAATCGTCGATGCGCCTTCGTACCTCTGTATCTAGAAGTTAATAATTCAGCAACTGTTATGCATTATGTATCGGGATGCGTGTAAAAGGGATAAACCCGAAGTGCGAAGAGGATCGTCAGATTGAGTTTGTTTTCAACGATTTTACGTGCTATTTTTTTATCTCGCCGTTTATCGAGAAGCTTATCGGAAAACGACACTCGCGAGCAATTTTATTATAGCACATGACACAATATTGCAAATCGCGGCAACTAATCCGACACACTCCATGAGGGAGCATTCTCGAGATAGTGCCGATGTTTGATGTTGGCGGAAATATTTTACTGACAATATAATGAAACTTTGCTGAAATATCTTTGAAAACCTCTCGCAATTAACCCCGTTTCAGTAAAATTTCTTCAATATTTCAGTAAAAATTTAGTGAAAAATCATTTTCCTTAGAGGATAATACAGTTTTTAGTCGAATTCAGTAAATTTCATAATATATAAAATATTTCATAATTTTTTTATGACTTTTCAACAGCATATTTTAAATTTCCTCGTATTTCACGGTATTACGATTGAATTTCATAGGGAAAATTATGTTTCATCGATTTCATAGCATTTTCAGCGAAACATATTTCCAACAGGGAATGTACTATTTACTTGATACTCCTCGGGCGTTGTTATGTAATCGCTGTAAGTATTGCAGAGCCCTGCGACTATTACAGACGTTTCGTCGTCGGATGCACTGTTCATGACTCCCTTGATAGCCTCTCGCAATCTTCTTCCGGACATTGTCGTGAATTCACCGGGCACACCGGCGATGACGACGTTTCCGATTACGGCGACTTGCGTCGAGACGATTTTCGGCTGCCACTGATAGGGAAGTTTCATCTGGAATCATGAGTCACCGTTCGATTCAGTCCGCGCCGCGGACGTAACGATTTCAAAGCATTCAATTACACCGCGCCTCGTATCGCGCCGTACTGACATTTCCATTTCCATTCTCTTTCCGTACAAATCGCCACTCATTACTTATCTAAACGCGATAATTTACATTGAATCTTATCGCTCGGTATTTTCTTCGTATGTGGTATCTCTGAGAAGAATCTAACGTCTATCTATCGTACAATGAAATACTATCAATCACATATCTTAATTGCATTCTAATGACAATATTAATTGTACAATGTAGATTCAGGATAGCGGTGTGTAGAGTGCACTTGGTAGAAAGGTACCCAAGCGGAACAAAAAGTCAAGACGTGACATCAAAAAGTAATCATTCCTAGAAAGTCAAGATGATATCCTTTAATACTTTTACTAAGATATAATTTAACTTTTTTTATGACTATATGTTGACTTTTTCATCACTTTCGCCGGGAGAACACAAATCGCTCATATGTGCAAAATGATCAAAATTTATTATATTTTACGAATTTGTGAAAATATTTCATTTTCGGAGCATTAATATCCTAATTTTCCAATTCTTGAGATACAAAGAGCTCAAAAGTACAAATCTTATAAAATATTAAATACTGCACTTTAGCGGACAAATCATATTCTGATAATAATAGTGTTATTTTAATGAAAAGAATACATTTTATATCTAGTCCTAACATACAATTATGAGTATCGGAGATAATCTAAGTTTAAATATCGCGAACTATGTCAAACGGCATATCTAAATTTTAAAATCATAATTTGATCAATTTTTGTCATAATCAAAATATGGGTTTTGATAGCCATTTTGATTACATTTTGACTTCATCGTGCCTTCTTGTTCTACTTGGAAATAATATCACTTTCGTTAAAAAGAACATTTTGTGCCCTCTAAAAGTCAATCAGTAAATTCTCACTGAAAACAGTGAATAGTCACTGATTTGCAGTTATAAGTATACTACTGAAAATTGCAGAGGTATACTTATAACTGTAAATCAGTGACTATTCACTGTTTTCAGCGATAATCCACTGATTGACGAGAGTATTCATTACTTTTCATTATTACCACCATATTTAGGTTCCTACCCAACGAGAAATGACTCGTTGATCAACGTCAAAACCATGTCGAATCGACATAAACACCATCAAATTAACGTCGATTCGACATCAATTTGAAGGTGTCGATTTCGATTCGACATCAATTTGAAGGTGTCGATTTCGATTCGACATCGAACGACGAATCGTTTCTCACTGGGTAACATACAATAATGAGTATCGAAAATTATCTAACATAAGTTCAAATACATCGCGAACTATGTCAAACAGCATCTCTAAATTTTAAAATCATAATTTCATCAATTTTCATCATGATCAAAATATGACTTTTGACAGTCATTTTGACTTCATCGTGATTTCTCTTGTTCTGCTTGGGAGGAGTCAGGTAAACTCACCCGTCCGGTGGCTAACAAAATAGGCTTCGGACTCTGACAGCGAATATCGTTTTCCGTTGGGGCAGCCAAGAAATTTCGCACGGCGTTCCAAAAGGGATTCGAGGTTGTCGTTCCCTGCTCGAAAGCGAACGAGCCGGGCCCGTCGGTAGTACCAGCTGCGAAGCTGTATCCCATCGCAGGTAGGCAGCCGTGCACCTGTGAAAGAAAGCCCGAATAAATCTTCCCGTCGCGTCGTCGAGAGTCATGGATGATGTAGAGGATTTACCTCCTCAAATTTGCCTATTGTCTCGTTGTAGAATTCCGCGGATTGTTCTGGCATATTGACGTACTGATGTACCGTCCGCACTGGTCCAAGCACTTCCACCGCCTCGTTGCTTTGCCATAATCTCTGCAAAACAAAGGAAATTTTGTATGAGCAGGATATTGCGCGGTAAAACAACGAAAATTACGCACGCATATAAAAGGAATTCCGATTCCATCTACAAAGCCACTCGCTTGATTTATGTCATAGGAATAAAAGGTTCTCCTTCGTCATACACGCATTTCCGCGATTACGTGGAAAATGCGAAGGCAAAGATTTTATTATGATCGATCGCGAGAAAGATAGATAAGCAAAGTGCACGCTCGTGTTAGAAAAATTCCCTCGATGATCGCGCTCTAGGATTTTCTCAGGTGGAAAAGCTGTTAATGTAAAAGTATGCGAAGGTTTCGTGGATGAATCGATAAGGCACAGGTAAACTGATGGAGGTGAAAGCGATAAAGATTGTTGTCGGAGTAAAGTTGATATCCGGATGCGATTACCATGAGAGTTAATCTGGTATCGATCACAATCGTGGTTATTAAATTCCTACATGTTTCGTATAATAGAAATATGAAAGTGGAACGTTGCACAATCCGCGAAAGAAACTATTAATTGCTATGCGACTGTGCGCAATGGTATAACTTGAATATGATCTTCTATATTTAAGTAAAATGAACATCGCATTATTTCAGAAGTTTAAGATATTATACCGTTATTGTGTAAATTGCGGCAATCAATCAGCACTAAATAAATAACTAGCAGATAAAACATGCGATCTTCAATTAATTAATTTCTAGTGACCTAGTTAAGCCTTTTAATGTTTGCTTTGCTCTCCCATTTATATTGAAAACGCGTGGTGGAAACGTTTCAGGTGTAGCTATTACAGATTATTATAAAGTTCATAAATAATATGCGTACGTATGACGGAGCGATGGCAAATATGACGCGCATATACCTTTTAATTAAAATACCGCGTATACATTTATTAAAGTGTTCTCTTCATTTAGTCATTACATCTCGTCATTTAGTCGTTACGATTGGAAGAAACGATACATATTATGAAAACAGAGCAGCAGGCACAACTTTAAACCTTTTTTTATTATATTTTATCTTCTCTGTTGAAAAAAAATTTAAAAATAATCAAAATCTATCTATCCAAAACCGATGCAGCGAGAAATGTGAAAAAGTGTAGATTTTTTGGTTTAGTGAGATATCAATAACATGATATAAAAACTGGTAACAATAAATAAAAGAAATGTTATATTTTCTAGTATAGTAAAACTTAAATATTTGATTGTTTTTAAAATTTTTCACCTTTTGAAAGAAAAACTGCAAAACTGTTAAAAAGAATTTACGTCGCCTCTTTCATCGAAGAACTCGCGACGAAAATCACTAGCCATACAGAAAAGATTTCCAGATTCAAACGCTGTCGCACTTCGATTTATTATAAAATAGGATCAATATAGTAACAATTATAATTATTACTGAGAAAGAGACATTTTAATCTTAATAGAAAACTCTTAAATCTAAAGCAAACTGACGCTTATATCGAGTGACGATTTATTCTAGACGCAAAACTACATAAGCATAAATTTATATATGTTACCCTTATCTCAATAGTAAGTCAATCTGATTTAATTCGAGAGAGGATAATAGGAATTGTATTTAATTTGAAGAGGATCCTTCAGCCATCTGTTTCACCGAAATTGTCAAATATAGTTTTTGCGCTTGTAATTCTTTTTGTTAGCCTTTATGCACAAACTAATACCAGGATAAGTTGCGGACCGCATAGCAGAACATTTTCATACTTAAAACACTCAATTCAGAAATGATACGCAAAACATAGTAACAGTCACGGAACAAAGTAATGTAAAATATTACAGAATTTTCAATTTCGTAGGCAGGACAACGAATTTTCAACGTTCGTTGTTGTTTTTCTCTCGGCGCGGTGACGTACGATGTTTTTGCGTGCCATTGTGTATCCGAAGGTCGTCGCGAAGTCTATCACTCGCTCGCCGACCGTCGAACCGGCAAGCAGTGGCGAGAGTCGCTCCGTGCGTGGTATTACTTTTGCGTTATCGGTCTCCAAGATTTGATCGCGATGAATGCAGGGATAAAACACTTTTGATTTGTACAACTTTATTAGTAACAAGTAACGTTCCTCGATTAATTATTAAATTTCTACAACTTGTAATGAGAAACGAATTGCGTGTTGAGGCGACGGTTCTTTATCAACGTATACATAGATATCTCACGAGACTAACTCATCTAAAATATAAATGTAAACCGTGGTACTTTAGTCGCGGTTACATCTCGTTTACTCATCGCGCTTTTAATTATCTATCAATTTCGTGTAATCTATTCCATTTTCGGGACGAGAGAGAAATTTGTGCAACTTCGGCGTTTGCGCTGTAATTCGCTCTGTCGTTCTTCGCAACTCGAACGGGCAGGAAGTAAAGAAAGTCGCTTATCGCACGTCGTTACATTATGTAAATGTAATAAAAAATTATCTCGATTAACTGTTGCAATTAATAACAACTATTTATCACTGAAAATTTCGCTCACATAATTTATTTTGTAGATTAGATTGAATGACAAAGATTTTAAAATATCTTTTCGTTGCGGACTAATAACTACTTCTTTACCGCAGATTATGCTTCCGATGCTCACGTTATGTTTCATACCGCAAATTCAAAAGTGATATATTCATTTTTCCGAATCCAAAATACAAGTTGTTACATCAAGAATTATTTGACGCCAGCAAATGACTAACAATGACCAAGCTTCTACTCGACCATAACTGGCGATGTGTTTTTAACACAGAAAATTTATTGCCAAAAATATTACCTCAGTCAGTGTTTGAATCTGGGCAATATGCCTCGGTGGTCGAATGGTGAGACGCCCGCCTAGAGTGTAGGGAGGCCAAGGTTCAAACACTGGCTAAGGTAATATTTTTCGCAATAAATTTTCTGTGTTAAAAACACATCGCCAGTCATGGTCGATTAGAAGCTTGATCATTGCAAGTTATTAGTTTGAGTAATTTGTATGACAGAAAGTCTCGCGATATTTGTTAATAATATTTCGTGCGTTTCGCGGTATTTCACATCGCGTACGGGAGTGCTCGAAATTTCGCGCGATCGATGATTTTTGCGAGTGAGTGTTGTGTGAGTGCAACAAGGAAATCCGAGAGGATGAGGAAGTCTAGGAGGCATCGGGCAACGGCGGAGAAATCGTAAGGTAAGTGTCTTACATTGTTATGCTATTTGCTACTTGTGCAAAATGAAGCATTTGTTCTGTGTTTTTATTTTACTTATTCAAAACAGACTTCTGAACTGAGCTATTCGGCCCGCAACTTATCCTGGTATTATTTCGTGGATAAAAGCTAATAAATAGAATTACAAGGGCAAAAACTATATTTGATTGTGTCGGTAAAAAAGATGGTTGAAGGATCCTCTTAAACCGCTTTCATTTTTTCTCGAAAACGGCTTTATAGAATGACTTGAAAATTTCATGATCAACGTCTGATTAACAGAGGAACAAAGTGGTCATCCGTGTTTTTCTTAATTTCAAAAAAATTACAGATTTGCATGGTAAATAAAACTGTAATTTTTTTTTCAAAATTAGGAAGACCGCGTAGCACCACTTTGTTCCTCCATCAATCAGACATCGACGATAAAAATTTCAAGTCATTCCGTAAACCCGTTTCCGAGAAAACTTGAAAGCAGATTTTCACGACTTCTTTATCGATACGAGAAGACAGCGGGAAGCTAAATTCAAGCTCGCGGCGCATATAAACGCGCGTGCATGGCGGAAGTCGGCGGGTGTTTCGAAAAGTAGAAAAACGCGGCCCGTATTTCCACGATGCCGCGATATATCGCGCGCGCGGAATGCACGCGGGCGAGCACGCACGCGGGCGGGCACGCGCGCACGCGTGAAATGCATCCATCGTGCCGCGTCCGGCGCGTAGCGCCTTCTACGGCGCTGTAGAAACTGCTCCTAGCTCTCCTTTGTGATGCTAATGCCTCTTCACGAAGCTGACGATGGCTTCGCCGGTCGTGCCCCCGTCACGCTTAAGGAGCATGCGAATATATGTTAATTATCGCGGCGGCGAGCCTCGGCCGCGCTCGTCCCCGGCTACTGTGTTACGAGCGGCGAAAGCACGCCTGAAACGCCGCTCCGCTCGGTCTGTGCCGTACCGTGCCGAGTTGGATGGTCCATGAATGCTCCTGAATACGCTTTACCCGCCGCTTTGACACGCAGCATCCTAATTGCTCGCTTTTCCCCGCTGGCCTCGACGTTAATAATTCGCCCGCCGTGACGCTTCGCCGCGCGACGCGTAATCCGCATTCTCGTATTCCGGGGCTTCAATCGCGATCGCTTTGTGCTCTTTCGCTTCTTTCGTTCGGTGCGTGACGGTCCATCGCGCCCCGAGAGTCGGTACGCTCGCGGGCTTAATCCCGACTCTTTGATTCAGACGATCTCGTCTCCGCGCGATTTGTTCCAGGACGAAACGCAAATGTTGCGCGCTCGCGCGCAACTCTTACACGGGCGCTTCTTTTTCAAAGCGTGCACAATTAGCGGCCCTTTCGTGGAAGGCGCGTTTATTTTTCCACAGCTCGTCGCGAGAGCGCCCGAACGCCGGAGACATGCACCGCGGCTTCAATTCGAGGACATTCGCGAAACCTGTGCTAAAGTTATAAATGGCCTCACCGGGAGAAAGTTTCGGTTTTCCTCCACTTTTCCCGGTCTGCCTTATCCACGCGTGGGACATTCGGAAACGCGCGAATCGAGGACCATTTGTATCCGCGCGCCGGCCGAGTCATCCAGGTGTACGGCGCTACGCCTGCGACGTCGGAGGGAAAGTAAGTGGCGGAAGGTGTAATGGTACCGTTGCGTGGTAGCAGGAGATGCGACGCGAGATATTTCGGTCGCGCGAGCGCGAGAGCGAGGAAACGATGACGAATGATGTCCGACTGGATTAGACGCACGAGCGCATACGACGCGGGCAACCATAGCTTTCCCGGCCTTCGGGCATCGCCTCTTCATTTTTATCTCGCCGCCGCGTATCACGGTGTCACGAGCGGCAG